CTCTGCTATTGTTAATTAGCTATGCATTTTCAGTGCAAGTGTTCTGATATTACTGAATGGATTTACATGAGAGAATAAAATGGAGATGCTGCTGACAGTGAAAAAAGTGCTAAAGATTACATAGTCAAGGGTTACAGAAGTGTAAATGCTGGCTCTATACAGACTTTGAAGATACCTGKGTAAAGGAGCAAATCTGAAGATTTTCTTTCAGTTAATAAAGAATATTATTTTGTGTTCCTATAAACTAAGGAATGATGAAAATATAAGAAAATTACAGTGATGTATTGAATCTTTTTTTTTCATCTGTGCTGGTTCTGTTTTATGGTTACCAGTTCCCATATAAAGACACAGTAAATTAGTGTTCAAAGTATTGTTTGGAAACAAGTGAGCATTTGGATTATTAGTAAATACTAGAGAGACACAGGCTGCACAGCTGCTCTTTTCTCWAACCTCTTATTCTATGTTTACACATAAGGAACAGCAATAGACCTTACATTTTAGGAAGTAGTATTTTTCAATATGTTTTCAAGCTAATTTAGGGGGAAGAGGAAGAAGAATTTGTATAATGCTAAAATCTGTATCTCATTCCACCCACTGCACTTTATTAAAACATCCACGCTTGAAAAACAAAACACCCACAAAAAAGTTTCCCCAAAACTACCTATTAGAATGCCTTTGAATATTCAACAGTACAAAAGCATTTTTAAGTAACATATTTCCTTCTGTGTCATTTAAAGAGCTAAACTATTATATTTTCTTTCTTTTGTGGATATTTTTTTGTGCCAGTATTTCCAGCTGTTTCCACCATTTCAAATCTGTGGTCTGAAACTTAAACTRTGTCTATTGTTTCACAAAACTATGTGTGCATGTCAAATTCAGTTAACTGTACAATGTCAAACTTGATGTTAAAAAGGCTTTCAGTCATAAAGAAGCTTTAGAAAGAGTTTTAAACAGATTTTTGTATTGTAAATTGAAATAYGTTCAGAAGACTTAGGATGAGAGTGGTTGCATATGTGGGTCAGTAACAATTTTCTTCATAGATATTCTGGAATTTTTGTAGAACCRTAGAGTGTCCTCAGTTGGAAGGGACCATAAGGATCACTAAAYCCAGCTCTTGGCCCTGCACAGGACACCCCCARTAGTCACACCATGTGCCTGAGAACATTGTCCAAATGCTTCTTGAACTCTGTCAGGCGTTGTGCTGCACCACCTCCTTGGGGAGCCTCCTGCTTCCSTCTGGATGCAGAACCTTTTCCTAATGTCCAACCTAAACCTCCCCCGATACAACTTCATACTGTTACCTCGGGTTCTGTCACTGGCCACTACAAAGAGATCAGTGCCTGCCCCTCCTCTTCCCCTCTTGAGCCAGTTGTAACTGCAATGAGGTCTCACCCCAGTCTCCTCTGCTCCAGGCTGAACAGAACAAGTGACCTCAGCCACTCTTACATGGCTTCCCCTTGAGGTCCTTTGCCATCTTCATTGCCCTCGTTTGGACACTCTCTAATAGTTTAATTTTTTTTTTTATTTGGAGGTGTCCTAACACTGCACACAGAACCCAATTTGAGGCCATGCCTGTGCCGAGCAGAGYAGGACAATTCCTGCCCTCAGCTGGCTGGTGATGCAGGACTTTTTCTTACAGGTGCCCTCTAATAATGCTTAATTTTTAAACTGATTTTCTTAGTTCAATGTCGAAGCTTTTGAATTCTGCACTTTAAATATGGATTTAAAATTTCATATGTGAAGCTTTTTAGCACATAGATGGTATATAAACAGCTGGCCTTGTGGTGCTACTTCATGTCATTGTTCTCCTCTGACATCAGACTTGGAGAACAGTACACTCTGACAATATGTTTTGGTTGAAATAATTACAGATAATTAGAGTGGTAAATGTCATGATATACAAGTGTTAGTGAAATATGTTTTTAATTATTACTTTGCTTTGTTTCTTATTTCATCCCTTGAAGCAAGCAATACTCTGAAGATGCCTTAGCCCATTTATGGAACTTCTCCACTCCCTACTAATCATCTGTGATTAATACCTTGCAAATAAGCTGGAATTGCGTAGTTTTCTTCTAGTTGCATTCAAAACCCATATGTTTTAAAATGTAACTTGATTTTGTTTCAAACTAAATTCTTTCACAGCTAAATTTCTTTCTGAAATTTTCTMTTTAATTCTGAAGCAAAAATAAAAATACATGAATTACATGGGGTTTTTTAATATGTATATTATGCACATTAGTGGGAAATAGTTTGGGTTCTACCAGAAAATGTTCTTCAAAAACAAAATGAAAAAAGGAGACATTTTGGTAATAAAATTTGGAATTGAAAGTTACTAGGCCATTTCTGGTTTTACTGGCACTTTATTTCTGGACATCTTTACTTGAGGGATCACTGCATTTTTATGTATTTTGGAGATAGAGTTCCCTATTCCTTTATTTTTTTCTGTTGACCTTTTTTGTATTCTGTTTATTCAAACTTCTGCTTAACTTCAAAATATTCCAAAGTGTTTTTTTTTAAATCCCTTTCTTTTTAAGTTACTCTATGTTCTTGTGTCCATTTTTTTTTTTTTGTAACTGAAGCTAAAAAACTTCTGTAAAGAACAATAACATTTGAACTGCTTTTCTAAGTTGGCTGACAAACTAAAATGAAAGAAATTACTGATTAAAAGAATATAAAAGTGATAGCTATGTTTTTTCTGAGATGTCTGTGTATATGAATATTGCAATTCAGATGTGTAATGCTGATGAATTCCTTGAATTTCACTGTTACRTTATAAAACAAGAATAGAAACAAAAAATGTCTTCATCAGTTTTAATAAACTTCTTGAGGAACTTAATAAAAGAGAGGAGATTGTATTGCAGTACTCTCATTTGGTTCTTCTTTAACCCACTAAGATTTTTATATGCTTAACAATTTTGATTTTTTGAGTTCTGGAGGAGTGGGAGATCACTGAGCAGTGTCTTTGAAACATGAATTTGTAGACACATTGTTAAATTTGACATAGTGAGAGGGGTTTGAAAAGGAAAGCTTATGTATTGCAGAGCTCATTGTTTTTCTTTAAGGACTTAATTAGCATCTTGTTTGAGGTTGATTGAGCTCACAGCAAAATAAGTACATTAATAAAATATTTCACAGAAGCTCTTACTGAAGGCTCTTGAAGGAGATTTAAAGATTTGGGATAAGAGAAAGRATTTATCAGAGTAGATTATTTTTTATAGGATAAGAAACAAAGTCAAATGCATGACCAGTTTTCATTGCAATAAATCACCAGTGGAGTTCTGTGATGAGTACAGGTCTGTACACAGGCCTGTGAAGTTATTTTGTTCATAAATATATTGGAACAGGAAGTGGAGCTACCCATTTTTTCTGGGTAGTAGACATAAGGGCTAACTAAGAAGCTATGTAGAAGGATGTTACAATAAAATTCATAGGTAAGTGTAGATAAATGAAGGGCAAAGGGGTTGATCAAAGTTTTGAAGTAGTTTCCACACATGAAATGACTGAATAGATACTGACCTCTTTCTGTGTGGAAAGATGTGAGATGTGGTGGAGCATTTTGAAGGGTTGAGAAGGTGTTTTTTCTGTCAGAATAACAGAGCCTGTGATGAAAAGAGTGATGAATGAGATGCTCCCTACTGCAGTTGCTAAAAAAAATTACTGCTATTCAAAAAATAATTGGGTGAATTCAGGATTAATGTGTAATTCACTGAATACTGCTAAAGCAGTCGTTTCTGGTTCAATTTGTCCCTCAGGGACTTTTTATTTTAGATATTTCTGAAGCCAGAATAACAGCTTTATTTGAGGCACAGGGAGCACTCTGGGAAAATAAGAACACATTATTGCCTTGGTCTTTCCTACTTACCATTGACAATTCACTGTGAAATAGACTGGATACTTTGCTAGCCAGCCTGTGATCTTCTTAAATATCTCCTTTTTTTTTTTTTTTTTTTTTTTTTTTTTTTTTTTTTTTTTTTTTTTTTTTTTTTTTTTTTTTTTTTTTTTTTTTNTTTTTTTTTTTTTTTTTTTTTTTTTTTTTTTTTTTTTTTTTTTTTTTTACAAAAGACGCTATGTTAAGTTATCCTTCCTTGTTACATGGAATTGGTGTTTCTGGATGGACCGGTAATTTAACAGTATGAAAATAGAGTAGAACTTTCTTATCTTAGTCAGGCTAATTCATTTTCAGGTAGTCCCAACTGATAAGCTCCAGTTTCTGCTTTTCTACCTATGTTTTGGCTCAGGACATTCTGCTCCCTACTGTTTTTCATTAATGGCATTCTTATAATCACTACCAATAGGAAGTCAAACCGCTTGGGAAGGGTGTGTTGAGAGAATAACATCTTTTCTAGATGTCTAAAAGTMTACAAACTTTTGTTTGTTGATTTTTTTTTTAATATGTAAGGATCATGGTGCTGCATGAGACTGCTATTTTTTGTGCAGGTAACTGGAAAAAAAAAGATAGGGGTTATCACATAAGAAATGGTTCTTAGGTCTTAATAGTACAGAGTTTCTTAGTCACTACCATCCTTCTTTTGATGCTGCAATAACCAAAACAGCATCTGAAGAGTCATGCTTCTACATCTATTAATTTGTTTCCATACTCTAAAAGTTTCGTCACTGGAAGGTCAGTGGTGTCTTTTGGTGAGGTCTCTCTCAAATCCATCAATTTTTTTTTTATATGTGTAACTTCTCATTCCTTTAATTAATTAATAAATTAATTCCTTTAATTTAATCAAGATATGAGCAGCACCTATGTGAATTCGTCTGTGGTTATAAAGAGTTTATTTACTTCTGTAATGCTTTGCTGAATAGCCACATTTTGTTATAATTTAGCTTCTTGGAAGGGTTTTATTTCTGATCCATCTTGAACCTATGTGCCTTAAGCAGATGTATTGCTGTAAATTGGACTGTTGAGATGCAAGGTTTAATTAATGAAAGAGAATGTGTTATTGCTTAGAAGTATCTAAGATAATTAATGGTTTTTTCTTTTATAATTACCGCAGTGTACAGACTATGACCTGGATTATGGAACTGAGTGTTTGCATCTGGCTCTGAAATACTGTAAGACAAATGCCAAACTTGTTGAAGGAACAGCTGACCTATGGAAGGTAAAGACAATAATAATATCTAGTTCGTATATGTAGTTTAAAATTAATAAAATTTATATATTACCTTAAATTTTCAAATGTGTTTTTAATTCTAATTTAGGCTTTTCTATTTCAAATTTCAGAATTGACTTCATCATTGTTGTAGACAGACTTGGGCAGATGTTACTTGAGCTAAGCAATTTTTCTGTAAATAGGAAAAACTACTGGATACTTGAATGACATGAGAATCTGTAAAATAATCTCCAAAACTAAGAATGTTCTTTTGTGATATGACCTTTCTCCTGCTATTTCTATATCTTTTTTCTATTTTTCTCCACTTTTCCTATGAAGACGTTGCTTTTTTTCTGATGCCAAATACCTGGCTATCAACAGTTTGTTTTTAGAGTAGCTCATTGAATTCAGTAACACTGAACTATTTAAGAACTCTTCAAATAATCTTTTAAATATTTTTAAACATCATTTACCTTGTCTAGTAATCTGGCAGATTCCCGATGACTGACAAAGCAGCTGTGTATACAGGTGCCAAAGTATATGTCCCTTCTACATAAAAGTATCACATTTCATTGTTTTGGAAGGTGGGACATTATTCTTTCTTAGTAGCTGTTGTGTCAAGCAATTTTAAAGTATTTTATTTTTTTTTTACTTTATTCATCACCACATTGTAGGATCTGGAAGCAGCTCAAATCATTCCATCTGTCTTTGACAGGAAATTTCTTCCAATGAGACATATTTCTAATAGTGTAACTGTAACTCTTACAAAGAATGGTAATTTCCTGAATTTGCAGTGCAAGTTTCTTGTGCAATTTAACAGCAAAATTTGCATGTACATTGGTTGCATACAGAACTTCTTTTGATATCTTGTTGGGGACATACAGTCTCTCTGAAATAGTATATGGTCTGTTTTCCTATTTAGTCTTCTAAGGGACAGATTATGGATATTTACATTATGTAATTTTTTGTTCTCATTGCAAATCATGGTAATTATATGAAGGGTAGCAAAATACACCAGTAATACTCATGTAGCTTATTATAATGTTCATCTGTTTCTTTGCCATCTGTAGATACTATTGATGCCCAGCAGATCCTGTAGCTAAGAATGACAGAATAATTAAGTAAATAAATTGATGTCATCTGGTTCTACACCTTGCTGAAATTGGGATCAGGTTAGTTAGATTAGGCAGTGCAGGGCCTTGTCCAGMTAACTTTTGAATATCTCCAAGAATGGAGATTTCACAAACTCTCTGGGGAAAACAATTCCAATGCATATCACTCTGTATGGGGATTTTTTTTCATATTATTTCATCAACATTTCCCTTACTGCCTTTTGCACCAGGAAAGGAAGAAAGGCCAACAGAAAGCTCTGCAAAAAAAGTCCAGTTTATTTTTCTATATGGCCAATAATTAAACCTTCCYCACTTTCCATCTCCTGTTCTTTGGGCTGAACAAGCCAAATTCTTTCACACCATCTTAGCAGCCGTCTACTGGTTTCCTCCTGTTCTTCTTTGTGTTATACTGGGGAGCCCAAAATTAAAACCATACTCTGGTGTGTTCTCAAATGCAGGGGAGAAATCCCTCTGTTACCTGTAGCGAGGTCTACTTCCTTACTGACACAGCCCTGTCAGATTCCTTTTCTTCMCTGCTCCACACTGCTGACTCATGCTCAGCTTGTCCTGAACATTTTTCCCTATAAAGCTGCTTTCTGTATTTCAGCATCAGTATGGACTGCTGCTGCCCAGGGTTGTTCTGTCCCAGATGCAGGATGCTGTATATTTGTTATATGCCACAAAGTTTCTCTCAGGTCCTTTCTCCTACYTTTCAGGATCCATTGAAATTATTGTTGGACCCTTGAGCATATTGAATGAATACTTGTTGATTTGTTGCCATCTACTAGTTTTCTGAGAGTACTTCCCCTTTCTCAGGTTGTTAATAAATATATTAGACAGTATTGTCTCCAGTGTCAGGCCCCAAGGAACAGCACTAGTAACCAGTCCCCAGTTTCATTTGGACTTGGAGCTAAAGCTGGAGATAATTTATTTTCTGGGAACAAATTACAAAATTAAAATAATTTGTTGTAGTGAAAACAACCAATTCAAATTACTTCAGTGTTATAAATATTTATGAGTTCTATTTTAAAGGTAGTTRTTATATTTATAGGATATTTGGGATCAGAATGGCAAGAAAGGGAAACAATGACACTATCAACACCACATTTTCAGTTGCTCTGTGTTTGATACCTTGGAAGTAAAATTACCTTAAATTTTCTGGGTCAATATGCTCTTAAAGTGTAAAATCAACCAACAGAATGTATTTGTTGTGCTCTAATATATATGTGTGTGAGTAATATGGATAAAAAATTCAGAATAAGAACATTTTTTAAAAAAACTGAGACAGATTTACAGACTTAAGATAGACAGAGTGAAAAATCCTCACCATTTCTAAAAAGCAATAGATTATTTTGTAATCCTAGAAAAYGATCTCATACGAAAGAGATCTGTCTGATGTTTTAGTATAAGAGAGGGGAAAAGCTTAGTTAAATTAAATGCAATGTATTTTGTGTATGTGTGTGATGATATCTTTATTGTATTTGTTTGGTAAAGAGTTGTTTTTTTGCATACAATATACATTTGTGTAAGTCTGAACTGTTCATCAAGCTAAATAGGTCTGAAGATGACTTTTAAACATTACTTGGAAGTAATTTTGGGGAATAACTTTTAAAAGARCATCTTCCTAGGTAGTAAAAACTTGCAGTGTGACAATTTACAACAAAAGGTGGACAGGAAAATGAACTCGTCTGATGATTTTGAGGCTTTATTAAAGAAGTGAATATAGATTGTTTACTATACAGAAGAGATGTTTAATAAGTAAGAGGACCTATGCTATAAACAGGTCATGTTTTCATGTTCTGTGACTGTGAGGTATTTGTGCTRAGTTTTAATATTTGGCCTAGAGATATTCTGTATTGCACAAACAACATTTTGAAAATCTTGRACCACTGGATGTTCAAGAGGACAAAATGAAAATTAGTACTGTTGCAGAAAAATGAGAATTTGTGTAATTAGGAGCCTCTGAGTTTGATATTGATCAACAAAACAAAAGGGTGCACTGCTACAGGCAAAACTTGATTAATAAAGAGTCAAGGGATTAATGCAATTAATGTCAACCRATATAGAATTTACTTAGTTTGTGAAATTGACTTCAAGACTTTATTACAAGACTATAATCTTGGCTGATAAAGATGGTAGTGCTGATACAATGTACAGCTGGCAGAAGTTAGACTTGTTACTACATGACATCTTAATTAAAWATAGGATGACTGTAATTGTACTAGTTCTCATTAAATAGATGAAAAATTAGATAATTGATGTATTTCAATAGATAATTCTCACCATGTCTCACCAGTTTCTGCAGAAACTGTTATTGTCTCTAAGGTATTTAACAGTTTTCTGATAAAGTTTGCAGACAAAGATTTAAGGATTTGTAAATAAAAATTAACTGATCATAAGTAACCTATTTATAAAGATTGTTTAGCAAACAGTTTAAACAAAAAAGTGTGCTTTTCATTGCAGCCAAATATAAAGAATTGATTTTAGAAGCAAATGAAGTATAACTCATATTTAGTGGATTGTTCTTGAAACGCTGTGACTTTGAATGTGGTATAGGAATCACAGAGGTYAGCAAATTTCCACTGTGTGTGGGCAAAATACCACATGTCAGCCATAGACAGAGAACAAAAATACGAAATTAGAGAAGATATGTTCTAATATTACAAGTGCATCGAGAATGATATGGAAAAATCTGGGCTAAAGCTTTGTGCAATTGTTATAAATAGAGAACATTCAGGGAATTGAGTTTTGCATCTTAGTCAAATTGAAAGATGTGTGGAGAAACCCTCCCTCCTTGACTGGTAAGGCATGGTCATATRTGGTATCTGGAAGGGTTTTTCTGTGAACTATGCAATTTTCACAGAACCTATAGGAGCTTGTATCTGAAATTAGCTTTCAGGATCAAAGATTATGGAAGAAATATATATGAAGCATGTGATATGGTCTTCAATGATTTATTTCCCTAGGAAACAAAGCATTTGCTGATGTCTGTCTTATAGTTTTGGAAGACCTTTTAAAAAGGTTAATTCTTTTTATTTTCCTGTGCTCTTTTCTTGAAGACTGCACAATTTTTTTTAGATCAGAGTGTTTAAAAATACTTTTGCACCTCAAAGAGACTGTAAATGTTAGAATATGTGAGACCATTTCTGACAGACCTTAGTCTTGTTTCTTGAAAGGTTTTGAGATTACAATCTGTTACATTTTGCTGAAAGCTCAGTGTAAATGCCCTCTAGAATCTGGTGAATAGAAAGAAACTTCTCAGCAAAATCAGTCACTCAATTGGTCACTCTGTCCTTAGAGAAAAAAAACAAACAAAAAACAACAAAATCCAGTAAAATTTTATTTAGCGTAAAAGGAACTTAGGATGAAAACAAATATAAATATTTATGAGTCATGTCAATTCAAGCCACTGCTCGTCATTGTGAAGACATTGCTAGAAAAGACTGTTAATGTCTTGAGTAGATGATGAGTTTAGTTTTCTAGTATTTTGTTTGCAAAGCCTATTTTTGGGACTGTCAGCCACCATGAAGGTACAAAGACCTGAAAGGTGTTTCTGCAAGTACCAAGTAAATACTCAGCATCCTATTGTTCATCTAACTTGATCTGATTCATGTCTTCAAAAAGAACTCAATGTTTATTAATTCTCTGAAAGCTTACACATAATCTTGTAGTCTCAGTGACTCCCACTGGTTAATTGGACTCTCATTAACAGTAATAGTCTTGCACTRTGGAAAAATTGCACCTAATTAGTAAAAGCAATAACAAGGTTTCTCCCTGGCTGTCATTTTTATGATCCCAAGTCCTGTTAAAAATTAATCTCCTTTGTAATAAAATAAGAGTAGAATGGWTGTGTAAAAAAATAGATGCATTATCATGTTTTCATGATTTTTCAAAGGATTGAAAAYAGTTTCAAATGAGTTCTAAGCAGGTCTAAGTATCTGGAAAAGGGGTTKTCTCCAGTASTTTCTGCAACCTCTGCTCTMATAAATTGCCAGTGATATTTTACCMGAATTAAGAAATTGACWATCCCCTGTTTAAGGTATTTAAAATGTAAAGAATTGTTTTCAGGGCAATTGTTTTATTGGTTTTACATTCTTYCCCGCTGTGTTAAATCTAATGAGGCTTGTCTGTCCTTTAGGTGACCTACAAGCGGGATCTGTATGCAGCTGAATCGATTATTAAGGGTATGTGTTTGTCCTTGTGAGTGTCGGTTTGCATATTCCTGAATCTAATTAAGAATTTTGTTTGAAATGTCTTTAAGAAAAGTTTAATGATGGATAAAATGTGCTTAGGCAAGTTGTTTTAGCTTGTTTACTGGAATCTTTGTGTTACGCATATATTTATCTTTATTTACTYCTCTTAGAATACAGAACCTCATAAAAAGCTGTGAATATTACAGTCAAACCGATTAATTTTGAAGGGTTTTATAAGGGATAAAAGATTTATTTTTTTCTTTCATTTTCAGGTCAATTCTGAATACATTCCATCTTTCCATTCTACGTAATAGACTGAAAATTAAATATTAACTCTTTAGAGCTCTTCACTGTTTTACATACAGCCAGTTGTTGCCTAAATAGAAATAGATATAGAAATTATATGACATTGAGATATTTCATTAATTTATAAATATTTTTTGAACAACATGTTAACCTCTTTTTTTTGTACTGATAGCAGTGGTTTCATAACAGTTCAGCAGAAAGACTGGAATTAGCCTTTATCTAGGTTGACTCACCCTAAAAACAATGTAGAAAGGAAAAATTCTCAAATACTGTATAATGAGCACACTGATGGTTATTATAAACTGATTGACAGTGACTTAGGGCTCTCTTGCCTGACTCTTTGTTGTGAACTGAGGGAGAAAACCCCAGAAACTGATAAAGAGACCTCCCTTTGGATTAAAAAAGGAGCCATTACAGTCTGGAACTGATCAGCTGGAAGGCAGCTGTGGAGAAAAGGCCCTGGGATTCTTGGTGAACAACAAATTGAACAGGAGCTTGCAATGCGCCTTATGGCAAAGAAGTCCAATAGCTCCCAATTTACCAGCAGGTTGAGGAAGGTGATCCTTCCTCTATGTTCAGCATTGGTGAGGTCACATCTGGAGTGTTGGGTGCAATTTTGGGTTTCCCCATCAGGGGAGATGTGGTCATGTTGAAGAGAGTCATGCAAAGGGCTGTGGCAATGATTAAAGTAGTGGAACATCTATCATATGGGGAGGTGCTGTGAGAGGATGGACTGTTATGTCTGGAGAAGAGAAGGCTCAGAGGGATGTGTAGAAATGGAGGAGGGGCACAGTGACGAAGATGGAGCCAGACTCTTCCTCAGTGGTCAAAAAAATATAAACTTGAAACAAAACTAACTTTTATCCAAATGAATTTCCAGGTTCCCAAGTATACAAGGGCTTTAATAGTCTCAGAGGTCTTTAAAGGAGATTAGTTATTATATTAGTTAAATATATGTGTATGTGTAATGTTATTACATTTTTTGTTTTCCTTAAAGCCTGTACAATCGTTTTCAGCCATTGCTGATAATAAGCTTATATAGTTTGAAGTAAAAATGGTGGTCAATCAGGCTAATTCCTTTACTTATCTAATGCCCCATTGCTTGGCAGGATGCAATATATCTGCTTCAGTAATCACAGTAGTCTTATTATAGGGGTCTCTATGAAAACCTGTACTTTAAGATTATTGAAGTTTTAATTTGCTTCTTTCTGCATTGSATGAGTTCAGGAAGCAGAAACCGCATGTGTTCTTGGCTCCTTATGTGAGCAGTATAATGAGTCCTTCATMGTAAATTGGGACACTGCATAACAGAGTTATCTTACACAATTAATTATCTTTAATGGGGTTTTGAATTGGCACTGTTAGTACTCCAAGACTGCAGCTTRAGAGTTGTGCCTTATCTATTTTGTGCCCTTCAAAAGGCTTGAAATCTCAGATCTTCAGATGGCTACAGCATGAATTATTTTGGTAGTGGACAGTTGAACCATGTAAATTAGTATTAGGCAGGCACTTTATTCACTATTACTTTAYTCACTTTATGCTTAAAGCATATTTAAGGGGAGAATATATTTTTGTCCTTTGGAGCTTCATCCTGATGTACCCTTGTATGGCATCATTTAGTCTTAGGGTTGTTAGTTTTACAGAAGAAATCTTATTAGCAATGTTCTGCTGTATTCTGTGCCTGTAGAAAACCTTCAAGGATAGGTCACCTTAGAGAATGGCAACCGTCCTATAAGCCAAGGCAGGCTCAGTTAGGCCTTTMCTACAAGTTGGGTAATTGACTATATCACATTGTCTGCTTTTCTTCAAAGTTCAGAACCTGCTACRTGGTGCTCTGCCCCAGAATTATGGAATCATAGAATGCCTTGTGTTGCAAAGGACCTTAAAGTTCRTCTAGTTCCAACCCCCTGTCCATTGGCAGGGACACCTTTCACTTGATCAGGTTGCTCAGATCCCCATCCAGTCTGATATTGAACACTTCCAGGGATGGGGCATCCACARTTTCTCTGGGCAACCTGTTCCAGTGCCTCACCACCCTTCACAGTAAAGAATTTCTTTCTGACATCTACTGTAAACCTATTTTCAGTTTGAAGCCATTCCTGCTTGCCCTATCACTACRTGCTCTTGTAAGTGATGCACTCCTAACTTGTCCCTTTTTGTGTCATGCAGACTACCTGAGGAGGAAGCCCTGCATGACTCTCTGAGTGGCAAGATCCCAGCTCTCTGAATGCCACCTTGCATACTGTCAAAGTGCTTTGGAGATGTCCCAGAGGCTGAATGTATGGTCTAGGAGAATGCAGGATACTGAGGGCTCTGATCTCACACTGGCTCCCCACTGCTGTTTCAGTCTTCACAGCTTTCTTTATTATTAAGTTTCCCAGTTTATTGAGCTGGATGGACGTTTTACCACTGGATGAATTCAGTAGTGACAAAGAATTTCTGAGTGTACACATTTAATTTTGTGACTACAATTCCAAATTCCATGCCMTCTGCAGTTTATGTTTATTAGTGGTCAAAACTTCTGGTTTCCTTCATGAATTAAAGAAATTTGAGCTTGCTAAACCTAACTCAGGTGTAAGTGAGAAAAACATACATCCCTACATACATTTTTTTACATTAGGTATTTATATGTGTCCTTTTCATTCTTATTCAAGRCAACACAAAGAAACATTTCAGTGATGTAAATAGACTAATGAGTTATTTTTCTTTTGAGACTGTTTTCTTAAAACATTTATTTTTAGTTTMCTAACTTCCTCAAGTCTCTTTTATAACTGTTTTGTAAAAAGCAAATTTAATGCTTTTCTTGAGTTAAGCAGGTATAAACTTGTAGAGTATGCAGACGAGGTGGCACATGCCTATTTTTAATAGTCTTGAAGTAAGAAAACATTGTCTTACAATAAGGGTGACTCATCTAGAAATGTAGTTAAGATCAAGCTAATACAAAACATCCTAAAAAAGATTCCATTAGGATTACTGCCCTCGAGGTAGATAACTTTGAACTCTAGTTCCAACATGTAAACTTTAAATGGTGCTTCTCAGAAGAAGTTTGTAACCTRCAGTTTGACTCTCCTCCTCCTCCTCCCCCTCGTTTTTCTTTTCTCAAGGGCCTTACTTTATAAATTACTTTTTCACAAGAGCATGCATTTGCAAATTGGATCGCTTGCCCTCACAYTTGGCTGAAGAATTATCTGTTGATATGGATAAAATGGTGATTTTTGCAAGTGCTGAGAAAAATATTGTAATGTCTTCAAAATGTTTATGACTGTTGGGAGCTACCTATTATGACCTGTGTTCTGTGAAGAAACCATGTGACTTGTGATAAAAAAGAAAATTGGGATAAGTCTTGTTTAGAAAAGGACAGAGATCTTATGCTGCATTTTCATGAGCACTCTCATGAAGCAGTGGCTGTTCTCTGCTCTAAGCCAAAGAARTAGACTGACAGGAATCATTACTGTCAAGTGAAAACCCCCACAAAAYCTTTCTTTCTTTCCTGCATGATAATGTTGGTAGGGACAGTGTCAAGTTTGGGTTTTRGTTTTCATAGCTACAGACACATGTGGAATGGGTAAACAAAAATTGTTAGATATTTTTGGCTACCTATRTTATTCAATTAACAATTTCAACTCATTCTGTTGAGCATGAATAAACTAAATGCTTGGCAGTATTTATTTAATTTTTTGTATGTTTACTGTGGTAACCCCTCATAACAAAGATGTTTCTAAAGMTGCCAGGGGAAACCCTACTGAATTTCCAGACCAGTTCAAGCCATTGCTACRTAGAAAATGAAAATGTAATTCTGATTAATTAATTTACTACTTAGAATTCACTGCAAACTTCAAAAGTATTTTCATGAACGGGATGTGCTTCCAAGATAATAAGTAYTGTAATAGCAGACTAAGAATGGTGTGGTACGAGCATGTTTCCAAAAACAAGTGTATRTACATACATTTATGTGCAATTAAGACAAAAAAATTATGTCTGTAGGCCAAAACCTATTTGCCATTCAGATGCATTTTTTTTTCTTATGGTATTAATTCTCAAGGGTAAGATATTTATTATCCTTATTCAAACAAAGTATTATTTTAATTGCTGCTTGTTTGTGGCATGCTCTTCAAGGTAAACTTCTAAGTCTTCCATTAGTGTACACTTAATACATCGTCTTACTATGGTAGTTCCATAAACATGCACATATTTTAATTTATAATTGAGTATGATCCTATGATAAAGACTGTGGCARGTGTTGCTGAATACTAATGTGACCTAAAGCTTTCAGGATATCAAAGGAGGGTGTGGAAAATTGAAAATTAAGTTTTCTGATGGAGAAAAAAATGGTTTAATGGAATAAATTCTGAAATCTTGTAATGAAGAAAACTCCCGATAGAGAAATTCAAGGTTTAAATTTGACAGTGTAAAGTTTTTACTATTTTATTTTATGCAAAAAATATGCTCTGARTGTATGTTAAAAGTGAAGGATGGGATGAAATGTGATGAATGTGAATGGGGAACACTACACCATTATCAGGTACMGCTGGAAAGAAGCTGGCAGTAAATGGGTGTTGTGTATGGAGGAGAGGAAATTTCCAGGGAAATAAAAAGTTTAAATAAGTAGAGGAAGAGGAAGCTAAAACAAGGTAGAGAGTTTGATATATAATGTTATAGTGACAAAAGAAATAAAAAAATCTGGAGCAGATGAAAAGGAAGTTATGGCAGAAAGTAAAGTAGAACTGTGGTTCTTTGTGGGAGGACAAGGGGAAACACAAAAACTGAAACAAGAGAAGTTCCAACTCAATAAAAGGAAAACCTTTCACCCTTGACAGACAACCTGTTCACAAGCAGTGAACAGGTTGCCTGGAGAGATTGTATGCCAGAGCAGTGTATATGCCGGACCAGGGGTTGAATGACCAGACCTGACCTCATGGGTGATCCTGCTTTGAAAGGGAGTTTGAACTAGAGACCTCCTGAGGTCTCTTCCAGCCTTTAATTATCCATCAGTCCAATGGAAMACAAAATGTTTTTAGTTGAGTATTAAAATTCTTTGTGACATGGCCGTGTTGTGGCTTTTCGGAATGACTGTTTCATTCACCCAAACAGAATTCTCAGAACTGGGAATGAAATGCTATACACAGTCATCTTTASTGGCAGGCAGCAAAACTCATGGAATCCCTGGAGTTATGAGCCAGCACTCCAGCTATGTTCACTGGGTTCAGTGTGACTACACTGAGTGATAGAGCTCCATCAGCTTAGCTCAGGTGGGACACAGGCAGTCTTGGGGAGAAAGGCTCCACTCAGTCTTCCTTCCCACAATGCAGAATGGTGCAAACAGTCTAAATTAATGTATAGATCTKTTTTTGAGCACTTGAAGTAGTTTGGATTTAAACGGAAGTTGAGTTTCAAACCTCAACTGGAATAGAACTGATGCTTTACTATGATGATTTTATAAATGATTTCCCCAACTTCCTTTACTCATTTCCTTGATCRTTTAAAAGCATACAGCATCTTTTCAATGCGTGTGTTATCATTACTTTAACGTTCTCCTACTTTGTTAACATATTTCCCCTTATAACATTACTTTCCCACTCCAGATAAAAAATACGATTTTCCACACTCCATTGGATTTTCTCTCTTCTTTATCAAATTCAACCTGCAAATCTTAGTTGCTTTTTTTTTTTTGTAATTGCCTCTCCTTTCTCATTTACATTACAGGAAATTAGAGATCTAAGAGGGCTGGAGAGAGGAGTGAGAGGGATTTTTATAGCTGCAGTCTTTGAGCAGCATTTTGTGGGAATACTTCTGACACTTGCTGTTGATTACAGATTTATTTTTAAAAAGAACTGTCTGAGCCTAAGTTATGGTGCCTTTTTGGATTCCACAGCCTTCTTCCACATGTGGATTTTTGTAATAGCTCCAATCTGACCTTCTTCATTAAATTACTTAGTTCAATGGATTCGGAGTTCTTGAAATCTGATATGCTATTCTGGTTTATTATGTATATCTCTCTTGTAACTGCACTTTGTRTACAGTACTAAATTCAAGTGGCTCTTGATCTGATTTCAATCTACCTACTGGTTTCYTTCTGCTGATAAGAAATTAATTCAATATGGTTTCCCATTTTTTAGACTGTAAAGTTGTTCTGTATCAAGTAGAAGCCAACTGTGATGCATGTTCAGTATACTTTTTTGCCCAGTGAATCTATGGGAAGATAATTTCTCCCACAGTTGTGGTATCTTGAGATTTCCAGTCCTGTGAGAACTGGCCATGCATTTTTTTAGTTGTCACTTCCATCTGGTTGTGATGATTTATAAGCAGATGTTTATTGTTCTCTCTCTTTCTTCCTCCCTCCCCATTCTTGCTAACTTAATATTAAGTCAGTTGTCACCACTATTTTTGTTGGCACTTTATAAATATTGGACATAATAAAGATCCATGATGAAAAAAATAATTTTAATTATCAATTGGGATTTTCAGTGGTTAATTYACTTTTCCTGCTCACAGAAAATGGCTTAAAATTCACAAGTCCCTTTCCAATAATGTTAACTCTACAGCAGCTTTAAAATGAATTTTCAGGTCTTTATGTCTATTTTCTTAAAGAAGAGGAGTTTACAATAGAAAGTGAGATGTTTCTGCACTACTGAAGTAATGCATCTGATTGAACTTACTGTGTGGCATGTAATTATAGAAATAACTTTCCGCATGCAACAAATATGTGTGTTTATATCCAGACTTGTTTGAAGGCCAATTAGCCCATATTTTTATAATTTTTCTTGTCTTTCACTCCTGATTTATTTTGTGGTGGTGTTTGGTATGTTTATGTCCCTGGAGTTTCATTGAAGTCTGCTTTAAACATAGTTAGACTTTACATTTGTGAAATCTCCAGTTGCTTACGGAATGACTACCCCAAAAACACTGGCAGTCTTATGTTTTGTTCTGTGTGTTAATTCATCATCTAAAGGATAAATTTCTGAATTAGAATTGAGAGTTTCAGACTTGAATTTTGATTTGTTGGCTTAAAGAAAGGAAAATGTTCTCTGAATCTAAAAACTGTAGTCAATAACAAGAGAAACGACTCATTTTCTGAAATTCTGGCTTTGTGAAACAGGTCAGGCAATAACTTGGAATTATTGTTCTTGATAACAACAAAATATATTTTCCCCCACCAATWAAAGGAAGTTGCCCATGCCAAGATCTTTGTCACTGACTTTGTGACTCTGCAAATTCTTTGATATTGAGGAGAACAGTTACATCTGCTGTCTCCTTGAATAGTATTATCMATATATTCTTGGGCATTTTTTTTAGTGTATATTGTTTGGAATAGGATTTTTTTTATCTCCTGGGTTTTTTTTTTCTTTTTCCCCCCCTTTATTTACTCAGTATTACTGACACTGCATTTAGTGAACTATTGAAATGATAATAGATAGGAATTTTTCACAGTTTTCTTTATTGTCATCTACTGTCAATGTGGACCTGAAAAAATACCTTTTCATAGATTGAAATGGACTCTGGGGACACAGGGCTTATGTAATGATTTAATGTTGCATGAAGTCATATAAAATATAATTTTAATTTTATACATGAGATGTATGTTGTATAAATTATATAGTTGTATATTAACTGTGCTTTGCAGCCTTTAAATTTACAGCTGTTGAAAAGGTTCTATCAAGAGACAACAATATGTGGTTTGTAGGTATTGTTTAGCAGATTAATWGTTTGGATTAATTTATTTTTGCATGAAATACTAAAGTTTGGGGTTTTTTTATCACAGACAACTTATCACAACAAGTTTGTATTATCACCAATGTGAAGGAAACTCATGCACAAGTAGGTTTTCTCCTTCCTGAGTCTCTGAAAAACCAAATAAAAGTAAGTATAACTCTATGGCTGTCAACTGTATGATTAATTTAATGTTTCTGGTTGCCACTACTCATAAGAAATGGTCTAAATAATGTGAAAACAGAAACTGAGACTTCCTGTGTCACTGTGGTATTTGTGACAAGGGATTAACACCAGGTGTGGAATTTACCGAGAAGGAAGCATCTTCTCTCCAGTTATGCCATAGAGGGGCATCTTACAGATCCACTTAAAATGTCCATATTMGATTAGAGGAGAAATTGAATCCAGACAGCAGAGAGGCAATTTTCTTTAGATTTTATGAATTCAGTAAACCTAAATTGTTACAAATGTGTTACAGAGGAAATGCTTTTGTTACTTTGAAGTCTGACTTAGAGTTTGAACCAATTAAAGAGTAAGGTTTTTTTCTGCAGAGCTGTGACTACGAAATCAAATAAATCAGCCTTTTTGTAGAGCGATAGGGATACATTTCCCTCACAGTGAATGCTCATTGAAGCCTTTGCTTTAGGATATTGATGGATTTTTCTACTGACATTTAACTATCTTTTTCATTATTCTTTCTAACAAAACTACCGTATTTCCATTTTCCCAAAGATGATTAACATTTGGCAATTGTTTACATTTTGACTGGTTTTGGGGTGATTCTTAATTATATCTGAAGTGATGATATCCTATGTTCCTGTTACCCTGGGAAACAGGGAATAGCTGTTTGAAACTGCAGGTTTCCTGATTTGCTTAGTGTTACTTCTGCAATGGTTTTATTGATGTCTGTTGATCTTCTGCATGCTGTGTTAATTATTAGAAGGGTGTTTCTCTACCAACCTGTATTGATGTTTTATGTCTGGAAATGTCTTTTGACATTGCACTTAAAGGGTATTTTGGGAAAGAATTGTATTTACTATGGAATCCTGCTTTATACCTAACATCTACATTTAAAAGTGAAAAAGATTAACACAGTTGAGTAAGATCTTTGCTTGTCTAAATAGCTGTATAATGGGGCAGAAGTATGTTTGCATTTCACTGACACCAGATCCATTGCTATTTCTCTTTTTTATCTCTCTAAACCACTCTGCTACTAGTAGGAGTACATCACTTGCCCATATACCTTTAAACAATGAAATCTGTGAGTTTATTTGTAACCTTACCAATATACAGAATTTCTAACCTTAGAAAGAGTATATGCGCAGGCCTGCATATTYTCGAGTGAAACACGGTAACCTTGTGGGAGAGGGATTTGATTTTGTGCAAAGTAATTATTTTCAGCAATGTAAATGTTTCACACTCAAAACTGGGCCTTTTCGGAGGGGTAATTGGAACGTAATTGATCTAAGGAAGAGACTAAATGGTAGAATACATATAATCTGGGATCAGTATTTTAACATTTTAGATACTTTTGACCATCGAGTTCTTAGTCGCAACCATATTTGCTTTTGAGGTATTTGTTAACTTCTACATATATCCTTACAGAAGAATTAAAAAGAAATGTTATTAGAAGGGTTTCTGAGAGAGGAACTAATAACATGATAACGTTAAAAAACAGGGGGAAAAAAATACCTAAAAACTGAACTAATAAGATAATGAAAATAAAAGTTTTTCTAAAAATATTTTTAAGGCTACAGTTATTGCTTGCAAAATACTTTAACAGTATTTTAATCAGTGTTACTTTAAACAGTATAATTAATGAATGAATGTTTTGTTAAAGCTATCATACTGTGAAAGACATAATTTGAGTCTTTCCTTAAATTTGTTATTTAGCCTTTCTTTTGAAGCAAACAAACCTACATGAGAGCTGAAGGTGTTTTCTTCCGTGAATGGAAATAATKTACTCCTGTTTCTTCAGTGACAAAGTGCTGCTGTCACATGAAATGTAGTTGGCTGGGCGAAGCTATGTGTCATTTTTGTGACTAGATAAATATTCATGAGCAGCATATAAAAATATTTGGTWGATTTCAAATAGAAAAAGAACTAGCATTTCACTAGTAGAAATTCACCAATTTCTTAATGATTACATTGTCCATCTGATGCATTGGTGTGAATTGTGATTTTAAATTCTGATATAATTTAGCAGGTTCCAAATGTCCTGGTGTGAATTTTTGATTTTATGAAAGTGGATGTTGATTTTGTTGAATAAAGTTGGAACTTATGTACAGGGCATCTGATATCTAAAAAAAATTAAAGAAACCATATTTATTATTGCTGTCTTCATGCTCATAAAGTTTGCCATTTCTGCTTCTTGACACTAGCTAAGTATCAGTTGCAAAGACCAGTACTAATTAAGCTAGTCCATATACTCCTTTTTTTAAACATTAAAACATTATGTGGCAATAACTTTCTACCAAGGTGGTTTTTTTAGGTCATTTTTGCTCTCTTATGTAGCTGATAACATTGCTTCATATGAATTTTAATTTTGAAGAACTACTATTGCATAGGATCCTAAATTAATTTTAGTTAATGATAATTTATTGAAGCTTCCASTTCAGCAGCTGTTCTTACATTTCCAATAGAGAAATTCAATTTMATTTTTGGTAGATAATATAGTGGTAAAAAATGCTTAGTGTGCTACTTTATAAAATTATTGATATTGAATCAAAATTCTGATATACTAGAGGAATTTTAAAAGTTCAGTAATGCTTAGGCATCATGTATTGTAATATCTCAAAGAAAAAAATAAAAGTAAGCCTTCTGCCTTGGGCCATGTTCCAAACACCTTCTGAAAAGACTCTGGTTTGCAGTATGCTTGTCTTCATTGAAGTATGTGCAAGGTTGTAAAGGAACAGGGGATTTCGGATTTTACGTCTGCAGAGGTTCAAGCCAGGTGACCCTGGAGTATTGCATTTTCTAAGTATTTTAAAGTAATTTGTACCTTCTGTGMTTTTTTTTTTWAATCTTAMAATATTAAATGTCAGCTATTTGKGGCTATRCTATCAAATTTTCAGCCCAAAATGTTTCTAAAATCTTTAGACCATAAATAYCAACTCTTTGGTTTCAAACCACCTTCCTTTGCAAACAAGTTACCTCCCCTTTATTGCAAAAATAAACAAATACAGCTTTAGGTAACACTGCAAAACATTTTTAAATGTTRTGTTGGGTACTTCTGTTGCATTGTGGATTAAGTGGCATTTTAGGGGAATACAGCAATGTGTTTATTCTGTCACTTGCTATATATTTTGGGTAGAAATAAAGCTCAATTTTACAGTGAAACAGAGGGATTTGCTGATTTAATGGRAGCAACATGAAGATTCTTTTTTCCTGAATTTCAAGATTTTTTATTTGCTGCAAAGTTTTATCTTCTCTTAGGGARCAAATTCCCCCTCTGCTGCTTGGTTTACTGTTTTACTTAAGGCAATTCCAAAGCTGATAATATCTTTTTATTTTAATTGGGATAAGACATTTTCTTAGCTTGTGTTAAAGGTTGCAAAATAAATACATCTGTGCTTAAGAAAATATTTAAAAATATTTTTCAGGAAATTATTCTAAGGAGAAGCTCTAGGCGAGTCTTGTAGTCCTGTCCTCTACAGAATTCTGGAATACCAGTGCACCTGGTTTTTCATGCATAGTTCTTTTATTTTTAGCTTTATGAAGACAAAATGTAYATATTTGAGTATTACAGAGTTTTTYTCAGAATTAGATGYKTGAARTCCTTGGATCRTTTTGATTCTATGAGCAGGGTTTTTGTCCCTGGAAACAGTTGAACATCCTAAYCCGGGCAGCAACGCTCAGGTCTGATGCTTCCAGGGCTCTTTCTGGAATGGCTTCCCTGAGCATTCAGCTTCAACATATGTTGGGGTCTATGCTTCACTTTTGAGTGCCCCAAAATTCTGAGCAATTTTCAGTCTTGTAGTGGAAATAATTGATGGTTTTAAATCATTTGAATGAACAAACTCTGCCACAGTAGTGGAAGCTTTAGCAGATAGTTAAGGCTGAAATAGAATTTCTGACTTATTTTTTTTCTTTTTTTGTCTAATCAGGTTGAAGTTATTTCAATACCTCTAGGCAAAACTGATAGCCATCTGCAAAACATCATTCCAGCACAGTGCTACAATTTTGTTTGTGTAAATGTAAGTAGTGAGAATGCATGCTTTTTATTTTGTACTTAAAACTTATTAGTAATGGGAAATAATAATTAAATATTTGAGTAATAAGTTGTTTGTTAATTTTGTCCTCATGTTCTGTGTTCATTCCAATGTTTAATTTCTGATGTGCGCTTAACTAGATCTTTGAAGTACTGGTCTGTTCATTCTCCTTTGGTTTCACRCTTCTGTCACTGTTATTAATCAGCCATGAATTCTTGAACAAGAGGCAAAAAACTGGAAGTAGTTCAAAATTTCCTTTCATAGATGTTATATTGAAGTGAATTATTTTAAGGGGAGGCCTGTCATACATGTAGTCATCAAGCTGTGTATTCATTGCTACCACAGTCTAACTTAGTCTTTCCCATTCGGGACAGGTGCATGCCATGTGATCTATATTTGGGTCCTTGTAGGGAAACAAGTTGATTTAAGATGAACCATATCTGAGACCAATCAAGACCCTTAATCTTGTTTGTTTGGYTGGTTTTAAAGTATATGTATATAAGGGGTAATATTATTAATCTCATTCTTTTTCAGGCATCTATAATTTTACCAGACAATACCATCACTAATATATTAAAACCAACCAAACCCCCCCAAAACCAAAAAAGTGATGTATCTTCTTTTTTTTTTTGTAAATAACAGATCTTTCGGTTCCATTTTTATGAAAGAATTGTTGCGTTCAGTAATTCTAAACATTTATTTTAATTTAGGATAAAAGGTGTGCCATTCAGGAAACCCAGGAACTAGTGGATGTATTGGAAAAGTCAAATATTCCTCTCTTATATCCAGTTGYCCTTATTTCGGTAGGTGACTCCTGTAAATTACTGTAGAAAGCATCTCATTAAATACTTAAAAATAATATTTAATATAAATATAAGTAATATTTAATATCAATATTTTWAAAGTTAGACTAGATTTAAACTGCTGCTAACTCAGAATAAAATTGTAAAATTCAAACTGTAAATTGGTCTCTACAGAAACTAATTTKCACTTCAACAAATGTACTGCATCCTGTCAGGAACAAAACTGACACTAACAAATGACAGTTTATTATTTATAAGTTATGTATTTCTGTGAAAGGTTCATTGTGGCTGGCTGGTTGTATTGAACTCTTAACTCCTGCCTCATTATGGTGCTCCATCTTTGCTGGGGATGCTGCAAATCATATGCTGTGCTTGAATGCTCAGTTGAAACAGAATTAAGTGGCTTTATTTTCTTTTCTATGCATGTGTGATGTCTRTGTAGCTTTTGATACAGGCCAGAATGCCACTGGCCTTCTTGGCCCCCTGGACACAAGTTGGCTCATGTTCAGCCACTGTCAACCAGCACCSCCAGGTGCTTTTCCACTGGGAAGCTTTCCWGCCACTCCACCCCAKCCTGGGGTGCTGAGCACRKTTGCTGTGACCCAAGGGCAGAACCTGGCACTTTTCCWTGTTGAACCTTGTAACATTGKCCTCAGCCCATGTTTCCAGCCTGTCCAGATCCCTCTAGAGGGAAATTTGACTACTGTATTTGGACAAAAGGGAAGATTATTGTTACAGGAGAAATRGGAAGCTCAGAGGTAAACTTCAGGCAGTTATTTGTTTGCATCAAGCCAGAAWCCTCTCCAATTATGCTATAACCAGACATAGTGTATTCTTAAACAGCCATTACTCTACTGAGCAATTMATTTTCATTTTTGTAGATGATATGAATGGATTTGATTTTTATGTTGTTGCTTTGCTTAGGGTTAGAAAGAAAGGAATTTTAACACTTCAGCTCTGTAGTTGAAATTCTTTCCATTTCAGTACCAAAGTAAGTTTAAGAAATTCTTTTTTCTAAAGCTGTCAATGATGTTAGTGGTAAAGAGGAGCTAGGTTAAGTTCTTKAAAAAAGAATAGGTTTTATAATTTCTTATAAATAGCTGTAAATGAGCAGTACTTTRCCTTGTTTTGGGTAGAAAATAACAAAATAATGAGTGTGTGTGAAAATTAATCTGCTTGTGTAGTAGAAGCTAATAGCTTTGCTTCTGGTGAGTATGCATTTTGACAATAAACAGCATTTTAAAAAAGTGTTGTAAGGGAAAATGAATGAGGACGTATTTTCTGTCAGTATAAGTGAAACATAAAGTACAGGGAATTTGAAATAATTTTCCCAAGCACTGGTCTCTGGGGTGATCTCTATACCCCTACCTCTGTGTAGTGGTCACGGATAAGTTTTATGTGATGGAATCATTCAGCCACAAAAAAAATTTTTCTTTCTTTTAGGGATAAAGGTATTTCTGCTGTTAATCGATGCTGAAACTTTATATGTACAAATCATCATYCTTAATTTTGATTCCTACAGCTTTGTAAGGTAAATTGATTAAACTGTGGAACACATAAGCCTTGKGAAAGGGTTGARCTGGAACYTAAGTCCCTTGAAATACCAGYTATAGAATCACAGAAYATTCTSAGTTGGAAGGGACCCACAAGGATCATTGGGTACAACTCTTGGCTCTGCACAAGATACCCAAGAGAGAATTCATAGGATCATAGAATGTGCCAAATTGGAAGGGACCTATCARAATCATCWAGTCCRACTCCTCATCCTGYACAGGACACCTCAAGAATCACAACATATGCTTGAGAGCATTGYYCAAATGCTTCTTGAGCTCAGTTCAGGTTCTGTAAGACCTGCCATGTTTGTGCAGCATCTCTGATGGAAATGAGACTTGCCTTTCCCTGCCCAAGAGCTCAGGATATCTCTGCCTTCATTTGGGGTGGTTTCTGCTTTTTAAACTTGAAGTATTATCTTGAAGTAAACTTGAAGTATTATTAATCCAGTTTAGGCAACTAATATGCTATACTGAAAGGATAGTAGATTTCCAATTAAACTTTGAAGAATGTTGTATGTTTTATAATTTAATCTAATACTTTTTAGATGCATTACCTATTCTGGTACATTGGTTTCATTTTGCTTTGAAATGTATAAGTAGTGGAATTCAATAGTGATAGAAGCTATCTAAGAAAAACCTTTGTTAGTCTGGTTTTTTTATGTGTGCCTCACACTTAAAAATGAGATATGAGAAAACATAAGTCTAGAATGGCACGCTGTGGAAAAGGTGGGTTTTGTTTTTTCCTTATTTGTTCTTTTGCAGGTGCACTTGGATATTTCAGAAAGTAGTTCTTTCAGCATTGGGGTGGAAGACTTAACCTCAATCAAGAAATTTGCAAGAGAAACTAAAAAGAAAAACATTTTGGTTTATGGTCTCCTTATCCAGTGTAAGGTATGTAATTATCTTTCTGTGTGCAAATCATCTTCTTTTGCAATTTATATGATTAATGATAGAATCTTCATTTAAAATAAAATCAAAGGGAAATAAATATGACATGAAAAGGATTTTTTGGAAAGATTCTTGCCTGTTCTTGTTCAAAATTCAGACAAGCCTGTAGTTATAGACAAAAATGTAAGTGGTTTGATTAGGGAGGAATAAATTGTTACATTTTTTAGAAGTGCATGAAAACATCAGGATCCTCTTTGCTTTTCTGCTTGGTGATTTGTTTTTTTCAGCATTAAAAAAGGAGAAAAGTAGTGAAAGCACATTCAGTCAGTTGTTCTGCAGTATTTTATGTCCCTCATCGAAACAGTGTTTGGTACTCAGGTGACAGGAAGGGCATGGCATATAGGTGTTGAAACAATGTCTGTAATAGCAGCAATTTGCCTCAGCTGGAGGCAAAAAAAAAGTTAACACTCCTTTAGAGTTAGTATGCACYTTGTACTCACAAAAGCTATTTCAAAATAAACCATTTTGCCTGGAAAACATGTCCTGTCAACCAGAAGAGTGGGCTGCCTTGCCTCTAGTGCTGATATAGTTTTGCAGCTTCCWCATCAGTCAACAGTGAAGGAAGAAATAAATTAGATATTCAATGGAAATTTTAATAAATAAGACTAACTGTAGTCTTAACTGACTTTTTAGGTCAAATTAAATGTTTGGCTTTATATATAATTGATTAAATGTGGCTTAAATTTTATTTCTTTGGCTGGTATACTAAGCACTTGATTTTTTCTGTCAAATTCTATTGTTTTATTAAGAATTGTAAATACCAATACCTATCAGTTTATGTTTTTATAGACTTTTTGCCAACAGAATACCAATATTGCTATTATATGACATTAGCTTGTCTCTTATTTGTGAAACATTGAAAGACATACAGCTGTGTTCAGTTTTCCTTCTGGTACTATCAAATCTCATCTTTTCCCTGGGTAAACTCTAACAGTCACTTTATTATGGTAAAAAGTAACTCTTCAAATATTACTTAGTCTAACTACAGTTTTTTTTCCTCTTAGGCTTCATAGTATATGTATATATATATATATATATATGTGTGTGTATATATATATATATATATATATATATATATGATTTTATATGTGAACAAATCAAATAGGCGTATGTGGATAACAACAGTGAGTAAAGCTGACTGGAAGAAGGGAAAACATTTTATAATCTTCAGTGGATTTTGATGAGCATGGCACCAACACATTTTAATACTAAGAGGCATGTGTAAGAGCAGTATGAGGTCTGGGTGGGGATTCTTGATCTGTGGTGGTAAGAGAATTGCAACAGACTGCTGCCTCCATTTTTGAAAATAAAAAGCTAGAATCATTGTGAAAGATCACTGCAGGCAGAGTAATCAATTATATAGCATGGAAAAAGTCTTTAAAACACTTTGCCAAATAAGTAAACTATCTCTAGCTGTCTTGTTTTACAATGGCTTTAAAACATGTCCCTGCTCACAAAGACAAGGATGTAGTCTTGGGTTCCTGCTTGTCAGTATTTTGATAGATAATGAAAGAATAGGTTATACAGATAGTTTGTATATATGTGATGTATGTATCAAGTTTACTTTTGGCTGCAGATCTGTATAGACCATAATTGTCGCTAGGTGAAGACCTATGAAAGACTTGATGTATGAACCTAGAAATTACATACCTCAAAAGTTATTGCTGGTCTGGGTGGGACTGAGAGACTGTGAGCAAAACAATTTGTTACATGAAAAGACATCTTTTAAACAGTTTTTTTTTTTTTATCTTAAATCCAGAGTATGACTTGTGAGTCACCAAGGTATTTTACTTCTAGTACAGACCATTAATAGCTGAATCTGTAGGTGAATTCCATGCTTGAGGATGGAAGTTCATATTGATATGATGGGGAGTCCAAAAGAAATAGAAGCACAAAAATCACCTGTGTTAGAGCAAGATAGGCTATTATTGTCACTAGATGCCTTCTAGAAGTCCCAGAAAGTTGTAGTTTATTTCAAGAAAAGAGTGATGACAGGTKACTTTGTGGAGCTTTCCTCTAGCTGACAGTTAATATAATCACTACCAGACATACACAGTTGATAGATGCACTTTTATTAATAAAAAATATAGGGATAAAATGTAGGTGATGAGAACTTTATTGAGACACATGGTCATAGTAATGTTAATGTGAAATTATGTTTCATTTAGAAGGTTTATATGATTAAGRGTGTGATGATATGCTGATATAAAAGAATATGGGGGCAGTCTGTCAGATTTAGCATTAGAAAAGCAAATTTGTTGAAATAATTTTTTTTAAATATAACTTTTTTTAATGTTTTGGAAATGGAACTTAAATGCTTTTGGAACCAAGGAGTTCAGTTTTGATGGTGTTGAAGGAGCTGTGAAACCCTAAGAAAAAGTATGAGTCTTTATTTTCACTTAAATGCAGTGTTTGTTTGGTATTAAGAAAAAGACATCAAGTATTTTTATGACTGATACACCAAGAAGCTAATCAGGAGAATTAAAGGAAAAAGCTTTAATGTGCTGCATAAACGACCTGCATTTTATCTTTCATTTGCTCAAAACAAGTGCATGTTTACCATTGATATCATCTAATTATTTCTTTTGTAAACATCATGCATAGAATATCACATTACTGGTACTGACACAAATTGGATCCACTTCATAAAACCTCTAGTTTGCATCCTGAAAATATTGTTAATTTAAATCTCACTTATGATGATTTTTTTTTTCTTTTCTAAAACAGTTCTGCAATGTTARACATGGTTTACACATTCAAAATACAAAGGGGAGAAGACTATTCAACATCCAGAGTCTGAACTGATGGAATTAGTTTTTGAGGGTTTTTCAGATAATTTGAAAGAAATAGCTGATAAGCAAGGTGAATTAAAAACAGGGAGAAAGGTCCATTGTTTTAATGGAAGGTGTTACTGGCATGTGTTGATAACAATATTAATAAAATTCCAACTGCTTTAATTTAATGAGAAGTTCACCTTGGAAAAAACAATGGCTGGTATGGCATTATTATATAGTAGAATAAGAATCTTGGTTTTAGCAATAATCTAGTAGGAGAAAGCAGATCTGGAATATTAGGAGGAAAAACCTATAAAAAGAAGACAAGTTATTGCTAAAGAAACAAAGTTTTACTTAAAAGGAGTCTAAAGAACTGCTAAAACCCCAAAGAACATGAAAGCTAATGTCAAACCATTGCATCCATGTGGGGCTGGAAATGTGTTAAAAGCCTTGATTYGTATCATTGGAGTCAGAAGATTTGGGAGGACAGGTCAAAGTAATTTGTTGTTCCATGTTCTGAGCAATGGAATAATATTGAACTTGGGCTTTGATCTCTCACACACATACATTAATATCTTTAAATATATTCTAGGTAGTTAATGGGTGTATGCTTGAATATGACAATAATATTTGAAAAAATACTTTTTTCTCTATTTGTTGCTCTTCCCCCTTTTAAAATAATAATAATAGTAATAATAATAATAGTAATAATAGTAATAGTAATAATAATAATAATAATAGTAGAAATTTTGTCTTATGACTGAATTGTAGAAAATAATCAGCACACATGAAAAGAAAATATAAGCAGCATTTCCTAGCATGAGAGTTCAAATTCAGCAGCTTGTAAAGATTACAGGAATAAATTMTTGGTTTGTAGGTTTCAGTAGTAACTCTGTTACTTTTCACAGGAATAGTAATCATCCAAAATAAAGCACATTTGGATGGCTATAGGAAGCCACAGAAAGCTTTAAAATAAGAAAGTAACCTTAATATATCTTGATTATTGAACTGTATTAATTAAAAATAATCCTACTTCAGAGAAGCACTGACAGAATGTTGTGTCAGAGCAGCAGGTATGTGCTAAGGCTTTCCTAGGGTAAGGTGAGCCCAAAWACTTTTGCCTCTGAACCTTCTATTTGGTAAAGATAAACTGTTCACTGGCAGTCAGAAAAATCATAGTACATACGCTAAAAAGACACAAATGATGCAATTGTTATGAAGCTGCCTGAAACTAAAAGGAAACCATTTTCTTGTGCAAACATTCTGGACACTTATTGTAGCCCTAAAGATTTTTTGAAGACAAGAGGCCCGTCTGCAATGTCTTGCAGATAGCTCAAGAAATACTTAGTGTGCTAGAAGTGTTTTATGTGTGACTTGGTAAACCCCAAAGGTAAACATTTATGATTTCTTTTTCATCAAAGATCCCTTAAAATAGTATTATGGGTAAACATTTAGGCAGTGTTTCTCAAAAGAGGAAACACACCCCTCAGTGGGATTATCCACWAAGTAGAAGGTGGTTTGGCAACCAGTAGTAAAATAATGAGCCTGCAGGGCAAATGAWGTAAAATCACAAAATAAAACTTTGGAAACTCATTAAAAACAAATAGATTCTGCCCTACATGACCCCTGTGCTTCTTAATTCATTTAATTATCAGCATAGAATTGGTCAAATGATTGCAATCTGATTAAAATGATTGGRATGCTGCCTGGAGATCTCTCTTTTCTCAAGATGGCATTTATTTCAGTTGCAATGACATAGTAGATTGTCATGAATCTGGAAACCTACATTTATTCCTAGAAATCTTTAAGGCCAAGTAATTACTGTTTAGTATTTTCAAGAAACAGAAAATGAGCTTTTAAGTATCATGATCCTATGGACTATTCACTATTTTGTCAAAGAAAATTGTGCAAATTTTGTGATGAGCCAGTGTCATCTTGTTTCCCCAGAGTTTGGGATAAAGAGGGAAACCAAATTCATTTGAAACTTTCTATATGGGTAATCTTATAGAAATCATCATCTGTAGGTTTCTTAATACAAACTCAGTCATTCACCAGTAAAACCAGACATTGATATCTATGGAAGCTTGACACATTTTTATTCTTAATTATTAGTACTATCTACAATCAGTCATGAATGCATATTTTGCAATAAGTAGAACTGGTGTGATG